GCATAAAAAAATACAAAGTGCCAAACACCTGTCATGTAAAGGTACAAGATCCCAATAACAAATGTAACTGTACTGTATCCCTAAAATGGACCAATAAACTCAATTAAAAAATACACAATGTCTGCTAGCTATAAATCTGATGTGGACTTAACATCAAATATATATAAAAAACTGAAACAATAGCTAGAAAACCAGTAAGCGATTTTGAAATAGAAAAATGACCAGCTAAATATTTCTGAAAAGAAGAAATAAAAATGAAGACAGAGAAAGGAAAAATGCCCGATATTCCTTCTCTGTCCAACAAGGAAATACAAATCAAACCCAGTGTGAGACAGCACCTCACACCTGTTAGGATGGCAGTTAAAAAATGAGAGACAATTATTGATGAAGATATGGAGAAAATAAATCTTTGCATGCTTTGGTGTAACTATAAATTAGGACATCCAAGACAGATAAGAAAAATAGAGGCTCCTTGTGACGGTTAACTGATTCTGTCAGCTTGAGTAAGAAATACCCAGGTAAATTGCATCTGTCAAAGAAAAGCCCAGGAGCACGGCATAGTGATACATCACTGAAATCAAAGCTCTCTAGAGCACTGAGACAGATGGATCATGAGTTTGAGATAAGTTTGGCCAACTTGGTGACCGTGTCTCAAAAACTGGCTTGATATGTACCTCCGTGAAAAAGCTCTGGGTTCAATCCTCAGTATGAAACAAAAGAAAATAAAACAAAATAAAATAACAACAAGCCCCAGGAATTGGTTTTTCTGCTTAATTTCTAACAGTGAAAGTTGAACTGATACCAATTCATGCTAAAATATTGAAGAAAAGTGAAATTCAGAGAATGTTTAAAGACAAATACCATGTACCATTACCCTACCTCAAAAATCAGTTGATAACAAAAGAAGGATGCAACAGACTGATATCCCTCGCGCACATAGGTACAAAAGAACTTCCACTAAATAAAAGAAGGAAACAAATCCAATCTTTAAAAATCATTAAGGGGGATTAATTTCAAGGTGAAAGAATGGCTCAACACATACAATGCAATAAATGCCACATAAAAAAAAACAAATCCAATCTTTAAAAATCATTAAGGGGGATTAATTTCAAGGTGAAAGAATGGCTCAACACATACAATGCAATAAATGCCACATATAATAGTAACCGAATGAAGCACAAAAACCTTGTGATAATATGAAGTTTAATCGAATGAAGCACAAAAACCTTGTGATAATAAGTGAAGTTTAAGATAAACGAATAATTAGAGACAGGTAGAGAGGATTTCTTCATAACGTGGACACCAAATTATCTAAGTCTCCAAAGATTATTCAAGGAAGCCGCCATAGAGAGATGGTTTCCTGGATTGGTTCCTTGTAGAAACGAACCTTTTCTTAGGGGCCATTTGCAACTTTGAATTGAAACCACAAAAAACATGTTTCCCTTAGAGAAAATAAATCCATTTCTATTACTTCATGTGAGGACACGAAATTCACTGAAATTTTTCCATTCTTCTGCCTTTTTGTACCCCGGGGGAGCTGAATTATTTAGAGACCGGAAAGACAATAGAACATTTATTTAATTGGGACCTCTGAGAATTTGAACCTTGAGATGAAAGGAACTTTAAACGTGTTCGCCCGTGATGTTCAAGTTCAGTTTCTGTGAAGACCCCAGTGGGCTTTTCAGACAGCACTCATGCAGAAGAGAAGGCTTCCTTGATCATCCACAAAAGGAGTCAGTGTGACCCTGGGAGCTGCTGGAATAAAAGGAATAGAGGACAGAACGTGGGTCTGGGCAGTGCCTCTAGAATAATGACACGGGGAAAGCTGTGTTTGTTTAGCCTGTGAGGCTGAGTCCCTGCACACCGCAGGGATCCAGCTGTCTGAGACCAGTATTTTTTAGCTCCCCTTTTGTTTCTTTCTTGCACCTTTTGTGACTTAGAATAATGACACGGGGAAAGCTGTGTTTGTTTAGCCTGTGAGGCTGAGTCCCTGCACACCGCGGGGATCCAGCTGTGTCTGAGATCAGTATTTTTTAGCTCCCCTTTTGTTTCTTTCTTGCACCTTTTGTGACTTGGGTGTGCTCCCCAATAAAATTATTATCTGGAATCTCCAGCTTTCATTCTCTGTGCAAATGGCAGGCCCCTGCAAGATTCCCAGCACCTGATTGTTCATTAACTACTCACAGGAGCTCTATGGTGCACAAGGTATTTTCTGCTTCATTCTCCCTGGGGTAGCGGGAGAGGGGTCTATTCTAGTCTCGAACTTTTTTGGTGGACATATTTGACAAACCGATACTCCCTGATAGTTATTGTTTCACATTAGTGCCTATACAAATTTGCCGATCACGTCATTGTTTCTGAGGTACAGAGCTCAGTCCTTTGTTCTTGCTTTATAGTAACGATCCCTTGAAATTCTCAGGAAAATATTGAATGAGTTTGGTGACTGTCATGGCGTGCTCAAAAATTTAGCACAAGTACTCCAACGTCTTAATGCAAATTTCCTCTTTGATTTTTGTTTGAAAATATCCATTCTCTCTTGGTGTAGAAAATAGTCCCTGTTTTCCTTGTTTCCTGACAGGCTCATCCCTGACAGCTAACAGTGATGACTGCTAGACAACCTCAAATGCCTACTGCCATCACGGTTAGGACTTACATTCACTGACCTACTTTTCTGATGAGTTAACCAACATCTCTATGTTAAGCAGATTTTTATTCTTAGAATTGATATTAGTTGTTCATGCATTAGTCTTTTAAAATGGATACATTCATTTCATTTAACTTTACTATTCCAGTTTGTGCCTATTTTTAGGGGTACCATCGGCTTGAAGACTACTTCTTGCGATACACTGATGTATTTGTTTCAATAATTATTGTGCATCCAATGTTTGTATTTGTTCAACATATACAAATTGACAGGTGCCATGTAAATGTCTGGAAAGACAAGTGATGAAACAAAACTGTCACAATCTCACACTCACAAGCATGAGTTTGTCACAGTGAAGAAAGGACATTAAAGGGGAAAGAACTTTCACTGTGGACCCTCACACTGTGCTCTTTCTGACCTTTACCCTCTGCTCTCCGTCACACTGCTCTCTCAAATCCCACCTTATGCTGAGCTATCATTTGACTGTACCCCAGGCTGGTCTCGAACTCACAGCAATCCTCCTGCCTCAGCCTCCCGAGTGCTGGGATTACAGCCCTTCCCCCCCCTCCCACGACCGGCCATGCTTTTCTGTCATGAAGTAGTTCCCAATCTATCGGCATTAGTAATGCTGGCTCTATTTCTATCATGGAGGTTGTAAATATTTCCCCCTAAAACTTACGTTAGCTCTTTAAGATTTTAAGGTGGTTGGATTCACAGAAGTCTTGAATATTTTCAGCAAATCCATCAGACATATATTTTGTCAATTAACTGTCCTGATTTTAATGTGATGTGTACCCACTCAGGAGCACGGGCACGTAGCTAAATAGTATCATGTATGGCTCAGGTTTGATTTTAATAGCAGTATGGTTTTGTTCTCCTTCTGTTTGTACCCACTCAGGAGCACGGGCACGTAGCTAAATAGTATCATGTATGGCTCAGGGTTGATTTTAATAGCAGTATGGTTTTGTTTTCTCCTTCTGTCTGTGTGGTCCACATTTCTTTTTCTTTTTTTAATTTTTTTTCAGCTTTATTTGAGTTTATTGGTACATTTTAGGGATACAGTACAGTTACATTCATTGTTGGGAATTTGTACCTCTACATGACAGGTCTTGGTTCTCATTTTTTCCCCTTACCCCTGCCCTCCCTTCGCCCCCTCCTCCCATCCCCATCTACAAACACTTTATTTCCATCTTTTCATTCTCTCACATTTCTTTTTCTTAATCAGGAGAACTCACCTGGAGGACAGGAAGGTCTCTGCAGGAACCCGTAGGAATCATCATAATTGGAAATGCTGCACAGCGGCCAGAAGAGTTAATAAACTTGCTGTGTGTATGAAGATAATGATTCCACCCATGCTGCCTGCCTCAGTTTAGGAAGATCTTTCTAAATGATCTCCAAACAAAACAAATTTGTTGTTATGTCAATAAGCTCACATTTGTCAAATAACCATTGTATATAGCACAGAGAGCACAAAAGAAAAATTACATCATCATGCCGTTTAATTTCTTTTTAAATTTTAATTTCATTGGCATAATGTAGATATGTTCAATCTTTTCTCCCCATTAGATTTATTCAGTCTTATCATGCAATGGACATTTATAATTCACCCTGGGGAGCTAATGTGTTTGTAGCTAAGTGAGTTTAAATAACTTTCTAAGACTCATACAGATGATGACTTAGAGGACCAAATTCCATTCCATCAAATCTGACTGAAAAAATCCAATTTCTAAATCGAGCTCTATTGATTGCCTTGGGAGAAGTACATATAAAAATAATTAGTACAGTGTAGGAGAATAATAATAATGCTATGCATCACTTATTGTGCTCCTACAGCACACAAAAATATTTTTAACTATCAACAACATAATAATGTCAGTAATTATCACATCTGAAGGGAAAAAAACAAGCCACTGGTAGTTACCTGTCATTTTAGTAGAAATTGTGAAGTCGTCGAATGAAAATTGTTTGAGAAATAAACCCATGTTCCATCATTATGATATAAATATTAGACTTTAAAAGTACGAGGACTACCAAAGAAAATACATGGGAGGCCTTCAAATATCCTGTAAGTGTCACAACAATTAAGAAGTTAGCTGGTGTCCATACATTCAAATAGGAAAGTGAAGCGATTGGATATAAAACAAGAGATATTTCTGTAAAGTCAAAAAACTTGAATAACTATAAATATTTAAAAGTGAAATGAGCTCCCATTTCCTGTGGGAATCACTGTCTAGGGCAGGACGCATGGGCTGTGGGGGACGTCAGCCTAAGGGTGACAACGTGAAGTGATAGCTACTGGAGGTTTAGTCAGATGTTTTTGAACTTTTGCTTGTTTCTCAGGAGCAAAATTATCGACATGGAAGCAGCAAACCACACAGGGGCATCACAGTTCATCCTCCAGGGCCTCTCAGATGATCCTGAATGGCAGCCCGTCCTCTCTGGACTGTTCCTGTCCGTGTACCTGGTCACAGTGCTCGGGAACCTGCTCATCATCCTGGCCGTCAGCTCTGACTCCCACCTCCACACCCCCATGTACTTCTTCCTCTCCAACCTGTCCTTTGTGGACATCTGTTTTGTCTCCACCACGGTCCCAAAGATGCTGGTGAACATCCAGTCACAGAGCAAAGGCATCTCCTACATGGAGTGCCTCACTCAGGTGTATTTTTTTATGCTTTTTGCTGGAATGGATGATTTTCTACTCACTCTGATGGCCTATGACCGCTTTGTGGCCATCTGTCACCCCCTGAACTACATGGTCATCATGAACCCTCAACACTGTAGTCTCCTGGTTCTGATGTCTTGGCTTATTGTTGTCTGGGTCTCCCTGCTTCACATACTACTGATGAAGCCACTGACCTTCCATGTAGGCACCGAAATCCCTCATTTCTTCTGTGAATTAGCTCAGGTTCTCAGGGTGGCCAGCTCTGATACCCTCATCAACAACATCATCTTGCTTGTAGCAACAGCCCTGCTCTGTGTGTTTCCTGTGACTGGGATTCTCTTCTCTTACTCTCAGATCATCTCCTCCTTAATGAGAAAGTGCTCCTCCTCAGGCAGGTATAAAGCGTTCTCCACCTGCGGGTCTCACCTGTGCGTGGTGTCCTTGTTCTATGGAACAGCACTTGGGGTTTACCTCAGCTCTGCTGTGACCCATTCTTCCCGGACAAGCATGATCGCCTCTGTGATGTACACGGTGGTGACCCCCATGCTGAACCCCTTCATCTACAGCCTGAGGAACAAGGATGTGAAGGGGGCCCTGGGCAGCCTCCTCCGCAGAGCGATAACTTGTCTTTCATGGACCGTAGACCTCAGAACAAAGGGGATACCATGGCCCCTTCGGCAAGCATTGTGAATTTCAGTATGCTGGCTCTTTTTCTTCCTAGAAGTTATGTTTCTTCATCTCTTCTATTTCCCAACCTTTTATACCTTTGTTGTATGTGTTTGTATTTGTTTCTCCTGAAACACTTTTCAGTCATTCCTTATTAATGTTTCCATGGCCCTTCATGTTCCAAAGATGAACATCATTTATATGTGTGTGTGTGTGTGTGTATCGGTGACACTTTTGACTACGATGGCCTCTGACTCCTTTGTGTCCATCTCTTACCTCTTCCATTACCAGGTCACCATGGACCCTCACTCTGTGACTTAGCTTTGGAGTCTGTTTTCAGCCTTTTGAACTTACTGCTGCACAACTTGAGTGTCTCACAACTGACATGTCAGGGGGTGGAAACTACCAGTCTCTTCTGTGACTCTTCTGAGCTGCTTCTGGTTGCTCATTCTGATACTAATCAAATATATGGCCATATCATTTATTGTTGCCATCTTGGGATTTCTTCCTATCGCAGGGTCTTTTGCTCTTACTATAAAATAACTTCCTCCAATTGGAGAAATGGAGCTTCAGCCCAAAAGTATAGAGCCTGGGCCACTTGTGGGTCTCACCAGATAATTGTTTGCTTTTTTACTGGCACAGGCCTGCAGTGTGCATTGATTCGGCTGTGCCGCCAACATGGTGCAATGGCCTCAGTGATGTACAACGTGAATTCCTTCACCAGCAGTTTGAGGAGCAAGGATGGTAAAAATGCCCTGAGGAAGTTCTACACCGCAGCAGTGTAATCGCAGGACTTTATTACATGTTTGGAGCATGGGTTTCAAAATTTAGCTAAGCCAAATGAGTAGTAGTGTAAATCAGCCTTTGTTGGTCACCGTATGTTTGTAGTTGGTGGACTTTAACTCCTTGTCACATTTCATAGGGCAGGGCAGGTGGTCCAGATTGGGGAATGGTTATCGAGAAATCAATCAATAGCAAATGCTGGCGGGGCTGTGGGGAAAGAGGAGCCTGCTCCACTGCTGGTGGGAGTGTAGACTGTGCAACCCCTGTGGAAATCATTATAAAGATACCACAAAAATTAGGATTGGGGGTCCCATTTGATCCAGTTATACCCCTGCTGGGTATCTTCGCCACAGAATTAAAACAATCATACCACAGTGATATATGTGCACCCATGTTTTAGTAGCACAATTTGTGATAACTAAAACTTGGAAGCAGCCCAATTGCCCATCAATGGGACACTGGATAAAGAAAATGTGTTTAAAAAAATAAAATGAAGTACTACTCAGCCATAAAGGATGAGAACCTAGGGACGTTTATAGCTAAATGGATGCACATCGAGGTGATACTCTTAAGTGAAATAACATACGTGTAAATAGCAAATAGTTTCTGTAGTGTGAGAAACTGAAAGTGTAAATAAGGACTAAAAGATATAATAGATAATGTGAAATAGGAAGCAAAGGTGCCAAGGGGAAGGGAATTGGGAGGGGTAGGGAACAGAAAGAAGGGAATGGGATCAATATGAGAAAAAGAAAAAATGGAAAGGAAGTCTTTGTAGATAGGGAGGGGTGGAGGGGTTGAAGGGAGGACAGGGGAAAGGGGAAAAATAAGAACCCAGATGGATTATGTAAATGTGCAAATTCCCAATGATGAATGTCATTACATTGTATGCCTTACATGTACCAATAAAATTAATTAATTAGGAAAATAGATTACGGGATTGTGGAGGAATTGGAAAATCTTTTTTTCCCAATAAGTTCATTGGTACTTTCTGAGTATACAGTACAGTTACATTCATCATTGGGATCTTGTACCTTTACGTGACAGGTTTTGTTCTCAATTTCTCCCCATAACCCTGACCTCCCTTCACCTCCCCTCCCCTCTTTACGAAGACTTTTGCTTCCATTTTTTCCTTTTCTCATATTTTGTCTTTTCCCTAATTTCCTTTCCCCTACCCTTCCCACTGGAAAATCTTTAAATGGATACAATGTCCAGTTTGAGAGGATGAAAAATTTAGGTGGACACTTGACATCTGTGTACTCATAACGTGTGAATTAATTAGAGCGACTGAACCAGGAAGATTAAAAAATAGTGAACACATTCATTGTTGTTTCCATTTTACCAGAGTAGACAGTAGAAACAACACGTAGGTGGGTCTTTTACAAAATAAGCCAGACACGGAAATAGAAGCACTGCGTTTTCTCTCTCTCATATGCAGCAGGTACACAAAGTGCACCTGAAGGTAGAGGGAGAAACTCTGGGAAGAGGATTGGGGCAGGAGCGAGAGAGGAAGAGGAGGGCTTGGCTAAGACAAATGCACATCGTACGCCTGCAGGAAAATGTCACACGGGATCACTGTGATGGGCGCAGTTAATATGAGGAAATAAAACAGGCGAGAGAGAAGTGAAAATCACTCATAAGCTTTCTGCTGAGTAGAATGAGACATCGCCCTTCAGAGGACATTAATTTTCTTTTCTGTTTCCTCCACTAATATGAACGAGTCGCTGAGGCTTTGGAGACTGCAGGACAGCTTGGCTAATTTTGAATTCTGCACATAGGAGCACCCTGGTCATGTGATCAAGCGTCAGCCATCGGCCTGTGCCTCCAGGTTTTCCTGCCGATTGTTTCAGCCTGATGAGCTTCTTGCCCCGGCCTCCTCCGTGGTTGTCTGCGTCAGGCCGCACCTGTGTGACTGAATTCATAGCCAAACGGAGGACAGGGGCCCAGGTTTAACTAAAGACTTCCAGGGAATGTGCAGCTGACTCTCATCCCTCAGTGAGAACCTGGCAGAGACGCAGCACTAATTCAGTAAGTGCTGAGGGAGACCGCGGATGGAGAAGGGTCTAGGAGAAGCACCGTTTCAGTTTCAGCCATGTGGACTCTGAACCTCATTTCTGTGAACCTGCGTTCGTGTGGGGATCCTTAAAATCGCAGCCAAAGTTTTTCTTTATTTTCCCATCAAGTTCTACTTCCCATGGGCAGTGAAACTATTTCAGGAGGAAATGGGTCCCTCAAAACTGTTCCAAAAGCTAAGTGGCACCGCTTGGAGAGTTTTCACCATCTTCTACATACCTGTTCAGCTTTATTTGGACTTTCTTTATAGAATTTCCTCTCGCCCCTCAAACTTCTAAATTGTAGGTCGTAATTACGAAAATAATAAACTCGAAGTAACAATAAAGCATCCTATCCATGTATATCCAGGCTGCACTGGAGTTTTTCAGTCCCCTGAGTGTGTCTGCACTATACAAGGAGGAGTAGGTGTGAAATCACACAACACGTGTGGGACAGTACCTGGTATAGAATGAATAACGCACTTCAAATCTCAAAACAAACAAACAGAAACGAAAAAAAAAAATCACAAACTCCTGTTCCGCAAGCCTCTGAAATGTTCAAGTAGGCGATGGAAGTTAAGGATGATGAGGACTACAGGGCCTACAACCCGAATTATTAGAGACCTCCTTAGTAGCCTGAGAATGTGTCACATGTGCCACGTGCCTTGCTTCACTGTATTTATATAGATTTTTCACTTTTACACATTTCCCACATTATTATTACTTCACCTAAGAGAAAGGAGTAGTATTTTTTTTTTTATAATGTACTACATTTTTAGGTAGACGAGGCCTCAACCATATTTCATTTAGTTTGTCTGATTGCAGATTCAGGCTTCTTTTTCGGTACCGGGATTGAACCTCGGGGTTGCCAGTCAGGCTTGCTTGGTGCCCCTGAGCTAAATGGCCCAGCCAAGAATCGGGCCTTTTCGCTATGACAATTCTGTCATGTCGCAGCCCGGACAGCTCAAGTAGACTCTTCCTGCACCTGTCAGTCCAGGTAGACGACCTTGCTCCCTGTGCCCCTCCCTTTGGGGATTTCCGGTACAGCAGAGCTGGACAGAGCATTGGGTGGCTCAGCTGTACCCCATTGTGAGAGCGGTGGACCACAGTCCAGATTCACAGAAAGATCAGGCACGTAGTAGTTCCGTATTGGTCTCTCTCTCTCTTTCCTCCACTTGAGGACAACTGTCTACACCCTCACACGTTCCTGCCACCTTCCTACTTCATCTCAGTAGGTGACTTGGGCTAGGTCTTGAATTCATACTCAGGAAATGGGGTAGTTTAAGAACGTGCCTGAGAATTGAATGGGGTTGAAACCTCGCTATATCTGATTTTCCTTCCCGAGAGAGGGAAAACAATGTAGGATGTTGTGTAAAAGACCCTGGGACTGAACACTTTGTTTTCACTCCTTTTGGCGCCTTTTTAAAATTCTGAAATACAGAGCTGGTTGTTAGCATACTCGAGAGTAAGCGTTGTTATCTGAGGGAATTTCTGTTTGACACAAGTGCAGTAAAAAAGGATGAAACAAAAGACAAGAGAGCCTCCTGATATTAATTAATAGGTGGTGAATTTTTATAAAACAAGGGAAATCACTTTTTTACAGTGTGGTGACCTTAATCCTGCATTTTTTCCTACTGGAATGAAGGTAGTTAGTATTGGGGGAAGGAGGCAAGAAAATATTTTACAATTATCCATTCAGTCTTGGAGGGTGAAAAAATGTATGTGGATGGATGCCATTAAGGGATCCACAGCAAAGTGAAATGTCTTTTATGCCATCAAACTGTGCACTTGGAAATGGTGAATATGGTATTTTAAAGGATATTTTATCACAATTTGCAGTGAATACTACATAAATAAAATAAAATACAGATGACTGAGAAATTTGCAATTATTAGAACTGATTTTTTTGCTTTTGTTTCTGAGACAGGGTCTCACTATGTAGTCGAGACTGACCTGGAACTCACTGTGTAGCCCAGGCTGGTCGCGAACTCACAGAGATCCTCCTGTCTCAGCTTTGTCTTTTAAGCTTCTGGTTTCATTTCATCTCTGTATTCTTTCTCTAGCTGTAAGAGCCCGTGTTACTATTTTACAAAAAATGTAAGAGCATCATACTGTGTAATTTTTATTAAGATCTTAGGTAGAAATAACTAAATGTGGTTTGAATTAGGCTGCATGATGACAGACATTGGCTGT